GTCTACTCGGGACCCAAGAAGCAGTTTGGAGCCGGGAGTAGAGCCCACACCAGCAAAGTTTAGAAAGTAGATTGCCCAAGGAGGGTTAAAAAGGGTTTTCCTCTTAAAGAAAAGAAACAGTTCACGAAGCCAGTTGCCTGTCCCTTGTGGACAAGATTAAGAAAGCCACCAGTTGATTCAAAGCCTTGAAGCATTTGTTTGACCTGTTGAAGATCTGAGAAGTATTTGATTGTTTGTTGAAGACTTAAGCAATAATAAAGGACTTTGTTAAACTTTTCAAGCTTCTAAAGACTCTGTATAGGAAAATCCTTAGGGCCCCTCACTCGAGGCACCCCGGCTTCCCGCTGGGCACAAAGAGCACATCCTGTTCAAAAGCCAACTGCTATAGGCCCAGGGCATGACAGCACACTGCATGAACTTCCCTATGAACTCCGTGTATGCTCCCATGCCCCATTCCTCATTCCCTATATATATGTGTGTTATAAGAAAATATGAAGCAAAGCTGCCTTTTCATAAACCAGCAACTCTTGGCTCTTGGAGTCTCCAAACTTCCTGAGCCAATAATCCCCTAACAAAGGACTTCACTAGACACATTTGCATGGGCAATAAATAAATGACTCTATCTGCCTGGATCTCAGAGGGCTAATAGCCAGGCCATCCGGAATAATGGAGTATTTGGACATTTTGGTTCACCCTTTATCTCTCCATCTGCAAGGACCCGAGGATTTGTCATTGCCTCCCTGCCGTGCCACATCCTGATCTCCTGAAACCAGTATCTACTTCATCAGTGAACTCTATATCGCAGGACAGTGAGACAAAGGACCTGGTCTCTTGGAGCTAGACAAGAATGTCAATTCAAGGAATCAAACAATAACTCGGGCCAGGCTTGAGAGCCTAAAGCTATTCCCCAGCCATTTGGCAAACACTGGTCATTTGTAATCCAGTCACCTGGACATTTCTTCATTGTTTCCCTGTTGCCTGTCTCCCTCCCACCTCATTGACCAAGTGGCCAAAGCAGGGCAAGAGCCCTCATTGGATGTCCTCCTGGTTTGCTGACGTCACCTACATCCAGAGAGCACTGTGCACTCAAACAATGATAGATCTGGACCAAACTTGGCACAAATATTCAATATGCCCCAATGTGAACACTGGAGGAGTTTAGGGAAAATAGACATTGACATTTGGGAGTTGTAGTTGCTGGGATTTATAGTTTACCTACAATCAAAGAGCATTCTGAACCTTACCAATAATAGAATTGGGCATAACTTCCAACAAGAACTCCCATGCCTTAAAGGGACTTGCTCGCACGAGCCTCCCTTCAGCTTCGCATGATCTCCCTCGCCTGCATATGCGCACCATGCTGCTATGAGCCAAGCATGCCTGCTCTCTCCTCTCTGCTTGGAATCTCAGAAACATCCCTCTCTGTGGCTAAGAGGCTGGTCAATCACAGCAGAGGAGGTCTTTTGGTGGGAGGATTCACCGTCTGTTTCCAAAAAGTAAAAGGACAGGCAGAGAGATCTTCAGCCTTCTCTTCAAAAGGGGTTCCTAAGACCCTTTGAAACCCCATCATGTGCCCCCCCCCCGGGGTCCTGATCCACAGGTTGATAAACTCTGCAATAGGCCTACTCTAATTAGTAGGCTTGGGTAACCACGGAAAAATTTGGTTCTAAACTCGTTTTGTTTTTAGGGGGCCCTTGCGTTTCGTTTTTTTAATAATTCCGAAATTTTCCTTTTAAAAATTTCGAAATATACGAAATTTCGTATAATTACGAATCGATTCGTTAATGGCGGATGCGATTGCGCAATATGCTAAAAAAAACCTCCAAATGGGACAGGAGGAACTTCTGAAGCTTCCCTCTCCCTCTGTTGTTGACTGTTGGTGTGATAAAACAAACAACTATAAAACTTGCACCAGACATGCGAAAATAATTACGAAATAATTACGAAATAATTTTGAAATAATTACAAAATAATTACAAAATAAATTGACGAAAAAATTACGAAATAATTACGAAATAAATTGAAAAAATTGTTTCGAATCTAATTTACTCCTCACACTATTCCTGCATGGCTCAATATTGGATCGTAAGCTAATTTAAATACGAATTAATAACGAATTATGAAATTAACGAACGAAACCGCCCAAGCCTACTAATTAGTACTAGCCATAGCAGTGAATCCATTAACTTTTTTCTATTGTCCCAATTCCAATATAAAATTGCAATTAATTAAAAACTGAGATTCTGGAAGGTTATCAAATAATGCCAAGAAGATGCAGATAGACTTAATTTAAATAATTTATTCCAAACACCAAACGTGGTTATCTCAAGGGATGGTGATGCAGTATACACATGTCCCAGGACAATTGCCCGGACTATTAATAGTTATAACGTCCTTTTGTAATACCGTGCCCACCCCAACATGGTTTGCATCCCCACATCCTGTATATAAGTGCACCAAACAGGCTATTGCTACTTAACTCTTATCCCCCCCCCTTTTAATCTATAGCTCGCCAACATTTCCCATGTCAAGCGAAATCCTTTGAAACGGCCTCGACGAAATTGGGTGCTGACATCAGGATGCCGATGGTGCAAATGATAGTGAAAACTGAAAACGCCATCAAGCAGAGGCGGTCTACGACAGAAGCGGCAAACTTCCACTCGTTGCAAACGGCTTCCGCCTCGTCTTGGTCTCTGAACCGATTGGCGATGTAGCGGACTTCCTCCAAGATCTTAGCAAGATCCGGGTCGGTTTCTGAAGGATGTCCGCTGTGAAGGAGGTTGTCGTCGTCCGTCGGGGAACACGTCATCCTTCCACAAATCACACCCGAGTCGGTGGTTGGAGTACAATGGACTCCTTCCAGACCTCTGAATCCGATATAGAGCATGTTTCCATTGCTGGATTGTTGCCCACTGACTGTGTTGATCTCGACGCTGGACATGCTACATCGGCGTTGCTTGTGTTGGCACGCAGGGCGGACTTTGTCCTCTCCAGGCCGCTTCATCCTCAGGAACCAGGCACACCAGTTGAGAAGGATGATCCTGGTCTGGAGAACACGGGAGAGAACAGATAACTGAACACATTGTGTGTCACTTGATTATTATTATTATTATTATTATTATTATTATTATTATTATTAAATTTATTTATACCCTGCTAACATCTCCTGAAGGACTCGAT